CTGGGGAACAGGGGCCTTTATTTCCTACCTTTTTTTTTTTTTTTTAGTCTCTGTCATTTATGTCTGCTCTGATCATTACCATTTCCTTTCCTTTCCTTCTGCTCACCTTGAACTTTGTTCTTTTTCTAGTTCCTTTAGGCTTAAGGTTACATTATTTATTTGAAACTTTTCTTTTTTGAGCCTTTTTGATTGATGAATGAATCAAGAAGAGATGGTGTGTGTGTGTGTGTGTGTGTGTGTGTGTGTGTGTAATATTACTCATCCATAAAAAAGAATGAAATCTTGCCATTTGCAATGATGTGGATGGAGCTAGAGAGTATTATGCTGAGTCAAAGAAGTCAGAGAATGACAATTACCATATGATTTCACTCATGTGTGAAATTTAAGAAACAAAACAAGCAAAAGAGGGTGGGGGGAAAAAGAAGGAAATCAAACAGATTCTTAACTATAGAGAACAAACTGATGATTACAGAATGGAGGTGGGTGGAAGGATGGGTTAAACAAAGGGTAAGGATTAAGGACTGCACTTGTTATGAGCATCAGCTGTTGTATGAAAGTATTGAAGCCCCTGAAACTAATATTATGTATGTTAAATGACTAGAATTTATATAAAAATTTAAAATATAATAGTCTTATTTTACTGATGTGTTACAAGCCTGGCTTTTTACCCCCCTCCATCTGCATGGTGAACGTCTTTCCATCCCTTCTCTTTCATTCTGTATCTGTCTTCAGTTCTGAGGTAAATGTTCTGTAAGTAGTATATTGATGGGTCTTTTTTTTTTTTAATCCATTCTACAACCCTCTGTCTTTGGATCAGAACATTTAGGTCATTTACATTTTAAAGGAAGTATTGGTAGGTATGTACTCATTGCAATTGTTGTTTTTGATTGTTTGCGTAGTTCTTGGTTCTTTTTTTCTTGTCCTGCTCTTTTTCTTTGTGACTGATGAGTTTCTATAGTGTTTAGCTTGCTTTTTATCTATCTCTTTATTTGTTACATCTGTCATAGGTAGTGGGTTTATATATAACATCCTAAGTAAATAGGTCTCTATTAATTTGATGATCATTTAAATTCAAACGCATTCTTGAAATAGAAAAAGAACATTTACCCTTCTCTTGCCTTTTTACTCCCTTCTCCATGTTTTCTGTGTATGTTGTCATTTTTGCATCTTTTTATTAATAATTTTATGTCTAATTATACCCACTTTATTTCTCTAGGAAACTTTTTATCTTTCCTTCAAATCTTAATGGTAATCTTACCTGGTAAAGTATTCTGGGTTGTAGGGTTTTTTTCTTTCAGCACTTTGAATATATCATGCCCCTGCCTTGTGGGCTGCAAAGTTTCTGCTGAAAATCAAATGAAAGCCTTCTAGATTGTCCCTTGTGGTAACATTGTTGATTGTCTCACTGCTTTTACTATTCTCTTCCTTTTTAACCTTCAACATTTTAATTGTCATGTGTCACGGTGTGTTCTTCCTTGGGTTCATCTTGTTTGGAACTCTGCTTGGAGTTGGATGTCTGTTTTCTCCCTAGGTTAGGGAAATTTTCAGTTACTATTTCTTCAAATAAGTTTTCTGCACCTTTTTTTTCTTTGTTCTTTTTCTGGGACCCAGATAATGCAAATGTTTGTTCACTTAAGGTCGTCCAAGAGACCTCTTCATCTATTAAAAAATTTTTAAATTTTTGCTGTTCAGCTTGTTTGCTTTCCATTACTCTGTCTTCTAGGTTGCTGACAGACTCTTGTGCATCTTCTAATCTGATTTCCTCTGTTTTGTGTTCTTCAACTCTGGTTCTTTTGAATTTTTTTCTCTTTATTGAATTTATTTTCTCTTTATTCTCTTACTGTGTACTTTTCTCTACCTCAGTCAACATCTTTATAATCATTACTTTGAATTGTCTACAGACATATTGTTTACCTGTTTTACTTCTTTTTCTTAGGTCTTCTTTTCTTTATTTTGCTCTATCTCCCCACTATGCTTGACTTTCTGTGTTTGTTTCTATGGTTTAGGCAGAAGAACTACTTACCCTTGAAGAAATGGTTATGTGTGTGGGTATCTTCTATGTAGAATGTGTACGCTTGGTGACTTTCTCTGGAGCTGTGGCTGCATATGCTAGTTACTCTTTTAAACTGTTGCTTTTTACAGAAAGACGAAAAAAGTCATAAAGGAAAAAAATAAGAAAAAAGAGGGGAAAACCCAAAAGCATGACAAATTCTAAAAAGAAAAAATTTTAGACTTTTATTTTTTTTTAATGTTTATTAGAGAGAGCGCGTGCGAGCACACAGGCGCCACACAAGTGGGGGAGGGGCAAAGGGAGAAGGAGACTGAAGCAAGGGCCATGCTGTCAGCATGGAGTCCAACATGGAGCTCAGTCTCACAACAGTAAAATCACAATCTGAGCTGAAATCAAGTGTCAGACATTTAACTGAGCCACCCAGGTACCCCTGGACTTTTAATTTTTTTTTAAGTGGCTTAGTTTCTGTGCCCCCACATCATAGGGGCTGCTGTGGGACTGTAGATCCTGGGCTCAATGAAGTCTTAAGTTCACTGTGAGTCAGACCTTGCTCATTTCTTTAAAGGTGGGGAGGGGGAGAGAAAGCATCCTGCAGCTCTTTGGCCCTTTTAAACCACAGCTTTTTCTGTGTCCCAGCACAAATGAGGCTCGTGTGGGCTTGTGTGCCCTGGGTTTGCTGAGGTCCCAAGTTCACTGTGACTATTGAACCAGCTGTTTATGGTGTCCAGACCCTGCTCCACTGTAGGCTTTTAGAGTGGGGTGGGAACATAAGCCATGTTGTTTCCCAGTCCCTCTGACCTAGAAAACATTCCTGAAGCTCCTGAGCCACTTGACAAAGTTCTAGTGTTGTCTCTTTTATATCCGAGTTGTTCTTTTATATCACAGCTTTTTTTTTTCCTGTGCCCAAGGACAGAAGGATCTGTTCCTGGTCCCTCAGTACTATTCCCCCAAATACACTGCCATTCAGTGTCATGGGTGGGGGTTCCTTTGGTTATCATGTCTCCATCTCTCTTGATGTCCTCTTGCTGTTCTTAGATTCTTAATAGCTGTTTAGTCAGTCCTCCATTTGTCTTCAGGAGGAGCTGTTCTATTAATAGGTATAATTTGGGGTGTTCTGTGGATGATTGGAGTTTAGGGTCTTCCTACATCGCCATTTTGGACCAGAACGACACCACATTTTTTTTAATCCATTCATTCATAGATGGACATGTATGTTGTTTCCACATCCTGAGTATTGTAAATAATGCTGCAGTAAACATGGGAGTGCATATATCTTCTCTAATTTTTTTTTCATTTTGTCTAGGTAAAAACACAAAAATAGAATTGCTAGGTCATATGTAAGTTCAATTTTTAATTTGTTGAGGAACCTCCATATCATTTTCATGGTGGTTGCACCAACTTTCATGTCTACCAATAGTGCACAAGGGTTTCCTTCTCTGCACATCCTTAACAACACTTGTTATTTCTTGACTTTTGAATACTAGCTATTCTAATAGGTATATCTCATTGGGGCTTTGATTTGTATTCCCTGATGGTGACATTGATCATCTTTTCATGTGCTTATTGGCCAGCTATATGTCTTCTTTAGAAAAATATCTGTTCAAATCCTTTGCTAATTTCTTAACTAGTTGGTTTGTTTTTTGTGGGTTTTTTGTTTGCTATTGAGTTGTATGAGTTCTTCATATATTTTGGATATTAACCCTTATCAGATACATAATATAGGTAAGATGAATATTTCAGTATTCTTCCAATTTATGAGCACAGAATGTACCTTCTTTAAACAGTGTCTTACCGTTTTCAGTATATAGGTGTTTCACCTCCTTGCTTTAATTTATTCCTAGACATATTATTCTTCTTGATTCAGTTGTAAAAGATTGTTTTCTTCTTCTGCTAATAAAATAGATTTCTATATATTGATTTTCTATCCCACAACTTGACTGAATTCACTTATTCTAAGTTCTTTGGTGCAGACTTTAGGATTTTCTATAGTATCATGTTATCTGCAAATAGTGACCATTTTACTTCTTACTTTCCAATTTGGGAAGACTTTTATTTCTTTTTCTTGCTTAATTCCTCTGGCTAGAACTTCCAACATTATGTTGAATAAAAATGGCAAGAGTGGGCATCTCTGTCTTGTCATAATCTTAGAAGAAAACCTTTTAGCTTTTCACCACTGAGTGTGATGTTAGCTGTGGCCATGTCATATACAGTCTTTGTTATGGTAACGTACATTCCCTCTAGACCTTCTATGTTAAGAATTTATTAAATGGATGTTGAATTGTGTCCAATTCTTTTCTATACTGAGATGATGACTTTTGTTTTCATTTTATTAATGTGGTATATCACACTGATTAGCAGATATTGAGTTATCTTTGCATCCCTGAAGTAAATCATAGTATATGATCCTTCTAATGTATTGTTGAATATGGTTTGCTAATATGTTGTTGAGGATTTTTGCATCAATGTTCATTAGAGATATTGGCCTATGATTTTTTGTTGTACAATATCTAGTTTTGGTATCATGGTAATGCTGAACTTGTAAAAATAAATTGGGAATTGTTCCCTCCTCTGTTTTTGGGAAAAGTTTGAGAAAGATTGGTATTAACCTTTCTTTGTATGTTTGGTAGAACTCATCAGTGAAGCCATGTGGGATGAGACTTTTGCTTCTTGTAGAGTTTAATTACTGATTCACTCTCCTTACTAGTAATCAGTCTGTTCTGATATTTTATTTCTTCTTGATTCAGTCTCAGAAGTTTATATGTTCATAGGAATTATCGCTTTCCTCTAGGTTGTCCAATCTGTTGGATGTAATTGTTCATACTTTTATGATCCTTTTATTGCCATGGTATCATTTGTAAAGTCTCCTCTTTTGTTTCTGATTTTATTAAGCTATCTTTTTCATTAGCCTTTTAATGGCCATTAGGTGCACAGAATCATATAAATCATAATCATTAGCTATTGAAACATTCATCATTGATCTATGCCTGCATTGACTTGTTTATTTTTAATGAAACATTGAAATAAGAACCATGAACCCACCAAACCATATAAAAGCTGGGACCTTGAAGAAAACATGCATAGCTTTTCTTTCCTCATTTGAGAAATTCTACAAAATGAAGTGCCGTGCTCGGAGAATGTGACCATCTGGACTATCCTAGACTGTAGACTCGAGGAGGGTAGTCCTGTGGAGGTGATGGAAGAGACCCAGAAGGAATGTAGAAACCTGAGTAGAGAAAAGAAAACCAGGAGTGTGACAAAATCCAAAAGGAGGCTGTGCTTTAAGAAGTCAGGACTCCTTGTGGCACCTGAGTGGCTCAGTTGGGTAAGTATCCGATTCTTTAAAAAAAAAAACCTGAGCTGAGATAAAGTTTATTCATTCATTTGGAGAGAGAGAGAGCAAGTGGGAGGCAGAGAGAGAGAGGGAGACAGAGAATCCCAAGCAGACTCTGCACTGTCAGTGCAGAGCCCTGATGCAGGGTTCAAATTCACGAACTGTAAGATCATGACCTCAGTATAACCAAGAGATGGATGCTGATCCACCCATGTGCCCCAGGTCTTCTACTTTTTAATGTTTATTTTGAGAGAGTGTATGTGTGAGTGGAAGAGGAGAGAGAGAATCCAAAGTGGGCTCCATGCTATCATTGCAGAGCCCTACATAGGGACCATGACCTGAGCCAAAATCAAGAGTCAGATGCTTAACTGAATGAGTCACCCAGGTGTCCCTCAGGTCAGGTCTTGATCTCAGCATCCTGGGTTCAAGTCCTGCATAGGGCTCCACACTGGGTGTGAAGTCTACTTAAAACAAAACAAATCTCAGAACTCCTTAACATCAACATGACAGAAACTGCAGGAGTAATGTAGAGATGAATTGCTTTTGATTGACCCAAACAGCTCCCTCCTGAAGTGGAGGGCCTCATTCTCCTACTGGGTCTTGACTGGCTTCCCTACTATGTACCTCCCCACCACCAATGAGGCAATGGCACGGTGAGGTGCTAGATGTATGCTCTATATCTTGTTGACATGTGGCATCAGGAGTGAGCGTGACAGTTCAGACAGAATGGGGTACAGTGTACTGCAGATCAATCAATTGTTGTAGGTGGCAGCACCAAATATAAATTCAGTGGCATGATGTGCCTGCCACGAACAAGTAAGATATGCTCTTGCCTGCTTCTCCCAAGGTTTAGTTATTGGCACTACTATAGAGTCACTGAGTGGCACCAGAACTTTACCAGAAAGATTTCATCCCTTCAAATTTATCAGATGGGTCTCTATTGCAACTGAAAGAATCTTAACCAATACACTAGACATCAAGTGGATGGATAGGTGATGGGCAGGAGAAAGGAGCCCTTCCTTAGTGGGCCAAGGGTTTTTTTTTTTTTTTAATATAAAGTGGTAGGTGCAAATGAAGCATCTTAAAACCAACAAGTCTGAATGTATAAATAGATTTGACAGTAACATCTAAATTGGCTTCTGACAGTCCCTGCATAATGCTAATCCAGCACACAGATGATTGTGCATATTTTTCAATATTTCAGTTACCTAGCATTGACCTGCTTAGGATGCTCAGCCTTCCTGACCTGCAACCTAGGTGCAGGATCACTGTCCAAAACCTCTAAAATTCATAGTGGAAAGTGTTGTATTTCAACACTGCTAGGGCTTCCATAATAAAGTACCACAAACTGGAGGGAGGGGTGGGCAGGGAGTTAAACAACAGGTATTTACTTCTGACAGTGCTGGAGTCTCAAGGTGTCAACAGCATGGTTTCTCCCAAGGCCTCTCTCCTTGGCTTGCAGCATATGGCCATCTTCTGTGTCCTCACTGATAAGGGACAGAAGCAAAATATATATATATTCACCTTTAGCTGCAAAGGCTGACCTATAGCCTCCATAGTTCTCATAAGGATCAAATACGTGCTGGCTGCTATGTTCTTAAAGGGTCTCATGACTTCCAGTACATCTCACCAATAGTTAATATCAAACTGAACGATAAGCACCAAAGAAATCTTGCAAAAGTAGTTTTACTGGAGGGCGCCTAGGTGACTCAGTCAGTGAAGCATCCAACTTCTTTTGGCTCGGGTCATGAGCTCATGGTTTTTGAGGTTGAGCCCTACATCAGGCTGTCTGTCAGCATGGAACCCACTTCAGCTACTCTGTCCCTCCCTCTCTGCCCATCCCCTGACTTCTCTCCCTCCCTCCCTCTCTCAAAAATATTTTTTAAAAAGTATTTTTATGAGTAGAAATTTGAAAAAGACATTTATGATCTAATACTCCCTGCACGTCCCTCTCCCTTGAGCAACTAAGCATAAAACCACCAGTTTCACACAGCAAAAGTAAGTTCTTTCTGCCCAAGGGTCTTATCCCCAGGCTATAATACCTTATTGCACTGAGAATGTCTCCAGGATTCTTTCTTGATCATTGATTCCTGACCCTACATCATTTTGGCACCCAACATGGGGCCTGTCTTCTCATCTGTACTATGAGCTTGAGTTAAACTTGGTGAGTATTTCTTCCTCTTTTACTTTGATTTCAGGGGCTTTTCAAGGAATATGGTCTTACGGAAATACTTTCATGTCCATTGCTCAGGCTGCAATCCTCTAGCCTGTGGCTGCTTTATGGGGAGGAGAAAGCCTACCTTTTGACTAGAAGCTAGTATGCTGGCCATAATGATAATGAGACCCAGAAACTGAACACCTTCTCTTTATTCCTATCCTTTGACAAAGCTGTCTGTCTTGGGCACAGGAGAGCCGCTTGCGTCACTGGGACAGCTGCCAATATTAAGAGTTCCGGGTTAGGTTTCTTCCTCATGTTCTAATGTGATCCCTTCCACATCCCTGGTCTAGCGACTTCTGGCCAGGGCTCTGCTTGGAACTAGCTGCAACCACTACCAAATGTTGGTGGGGGGGGGGGGGGGTCGGCAGGGAAGGAGGCACCCGGGTGGCTTAGTTAAGCATTTGACCAACTCAGGTCATGATCTCAGTTTCTGTGTTGAAGCCCTGTATCAGGTTCTCTGCTGTCAGTCCAGGGCCTGCTTCACTCTCTCTATCCCTCTCTCAAAAACAAAAACAAAAAAACTGGGGACCATTTTCTAGGGAAGTCAGCTTTAAAGACTGCATGTATTGGAATGTTACTTACATCATGATGGATATCTGTCTTTACTGTTTTTTCATCAGTGTCCCCTCCCAACTACTTAAATGACAACATTGGGTAATTTCCCCTTGTAAAATTTTTCTATCGTTTTCCATAGGTTCAAAATAGTGGGTTCTTCGTGGCATGAGATTTTGGTACATTCACTACCACCCATTTGTAGCCTAGGATGCAATGGGGAAGTGGGGGAGGGGGGCAGGATGCAGGCATCCCTCTTATAGTGTAAGGCTGTGCCCATAGTCCTTTTCAGTCACTTTGACACTAGGAACCTCTGACATACCCAGCATGGGACACCACCCCGAAGTCACAGAGGGGATTTCCTTGCTAATGGACCTTCTTCTCTCAGTCCCCATGGACTCTCCCTTGGAATTCCCTTAAATCCAGTGGAAACAATTCAAATTTTAAGATTTAAGAAAGAAGAGACTGATCTTCTATAACACTACGTGGCCTCAGTACTCGTTAAGAGATGAGGGAAAATGACCCATTAATGAGACATTAAATTTGAATACATTTATCAGATCTCTGCTACAAGAAACAGGGCAAATGGACTGAGGACTTCATGGCCTTAAATCAGGACCCTGACCTAAGGGCCTCTTGCAGAATATGTTTGGCCACTAACCGAGCTAATAAACCCTCTCCTGACATACTGAGTGATGATTATCCAGTGAAGGGGATGCTGGTTTTCTCACTGTCCATTCTTCTAATAGGTCCAGGTTACTCTTGTTGTATGTGGGGACTTCTCCCTCATTCATTTCTTGGGTTAATAGCTTTGATAATTGGACCCAATTGTATGTGATTAGTCTACCTCCGGACGGGGACCTTAAGGAATATTAAATCTTTTCTGGCATGATGTGGACTGCCTAGTTTCACTTTTTGTTGGTGGTCAAAAAATGTGCCTGCTCATCTGTCTAAGCTGATGAGCTGTACAACAGGGAGTTCCCTTTCTCTGCCCTCTGGGCTTTTATCATCCTCCAGCCTTGGTGGTGGCACCTCATCTCTTTTGCCTCCACCTCCTCCTCCTCCCATTTCTGCACCACCATGGGTGCAGCCTATATCACCAGTTCCTATACCATCCTCTGTGCCTCAAGCACCATCAGCTTCTGCTCCTACGCTATCAAGGAGCAAGGAGAACCCCTCCCTGGACTGGAACCATCCAGTTCAGACTTCCCCAATGATGCCCCAGGTAAAAAATGACAATGGGGAACAAACTGATTGACTTAAGTGGACCCAGGTGCAACAAAATGGTTATTTAAGCTAATTTAATTTAGCTTAATTAATATAGACCTGACTTTAGAGTTATTCACATTACATATACTTTTATTCTGGAGCACCTGAGTGGTTCAGTTGGTTGAGTGCCCAACTTCATCTCAGGTCATAATCTCACAGTTCCTGAGTTCGAGCTCCACACCGGGTTCACTGTCAGCCTGCAAGGGCAGAGCCTCCTTCACATTCTCTGTTCCCCACCCCACCCCCCACCCCCTGCTTATGCTCTCCCAGAAATATTTTTTAAAAATTTTAATATATACTTTTATTCTGCCAAAGTTCTCATCGGCAATTTTTAAGCTAGCTTTCAGTATCTTTGGTAACCTGAAAATTTGAAGTTTTGCTAGGTTAGATGAAAAACTGGGTTAAATTCATTGGCTATCTAAGTCTTGCAAATGAGATAAGGCTTATCTGCTTTTGGCTTCCTGTTGCAGAGATACTTGGGTCTGTTGGTAAACATACTTTATGCTTAACTGAAATATTGTGGCATGGAAAAACATTTTTAGAAAGTGTGAAATGTATTTATAAATTTGCTGATCTAAAGAATTCTGATGTAAAAGAGTTCACAATTTTCACTGGAGAGTAAGGCTTCTACAAGTGAAAATTCTAATGTAATTAAGACTGAAAATAAGGAAAGCAAGAAAAGATCTTTTCCATATATAAGAAAAGATATGTTTTTAAGAAGAAAGATAAGGAATGGGAATATAATTTTGTCCTAAAATGAAACCGGTTGTTTGGAAAGAAAAGACTTATGACAAAATCTGAATGCAGAAGAAAGTTGTAGAAAGTTTGTGAAGAGAAAGTTTTAAAGAAGAAT